TACTAGGAGTTTAGATAACAGCTCATATGAGCTATAGTCTTAATTCCCTAAGGGGGGTAATATAGGGGATTATGTAGGATTAAGGGTGTAGGGTTTAGGGTCTAAGCAACTTAAACGGGGGTTATCTAGGGCATCATATAGGGGAGCATTATACGGGTTCTGAAGGGGGATACTAGGATATAGTTTATACAGGGGTTGAGAAGGGTTTATGGAGGTTAGGGTAGTACAGGATTTAGGGTCCAGAGGGTTCTAAAATGGTTTTTCGGGATGTATGTATAGGGATACTGCCCCGAGAATGGGGAATCAAGTGAAAAAGACCATGCAAAACGAAATGGGAACTGTGATTATCGAGAAGTTCTGAGTAGTAGTCCATTCATGCTACGAGGGGATATATCATATTATATAGAGCTACATAGGCAAGAGGCAAAGCGAAAATGAAAGCTGCATATCGTTTATTGTGGAGGGCTGATCATCACTCCCACGCACCCCCCAAATAACAAATTCCCCCCAGTATAGGACCAATGTATATTGGGGTGAATATTTATGATTAGGTCGGGGGGTGGTATTGGGCGGTGGCTTTATCGGGTTGCGGGTTTAAGGGTAGCAGGAGTGGAAGCAGAAGTAGGCGTAGTAGGCGCAGGGATGGGCAGGAGGAGTGAGGAGTACATTGCATCCATGGTTACCACTGCAACTATCATTGTTGTCATGTGCGGCCATCTTCGGAATGTGCAATTCTCTGAAAAATTGCGGAAGTGTGGGAATCCCTCTCCCTCTCCCCTTCCCCCTCTCTCTGTCTATGAGGCGATAATTTATTGTTTCATGGGTATCTAGCGAACCGCTCTTGTCAAAGTCTCTGAGTTCTTTATGCAGGCCTAGCTCCCATGCATCGCTCTAGAATCGGCATGAGGGGACCTGTGATCCTAACAGCGACTCGGTCTAGTTTTAACAAGCGCAAGCGCCCCCTGAAAAAACTACTGGTGGTTTGTAGGGAATGAGGGAATATGTTCTCTATAGTATTAACCCTATACAACATCTTCCCGCAGTCCCTACTAACCCTAAACCCGAAATAGTTGTTTCTATTTCCTTTGCCATTATCCTTATATATTGTATTCATATATATTTAAACTACATGTATATACCCTCCCCAAACCCTATATACCCTCCCCAAACCCCAACCCCTAAACCCTTAAACCTTAAACCCCCAAACCCTAAACCCCCTCCAGTAAGACAAATCCAAACATGCAGGTGGCGGTCCTGGCTACTTCCAGGAAGCTGCAGGCCGCGGCTGTAGACTTTCTTGTGCTAGGGTGTTTGGGTTACTGTAATGGGTTATATAGGGATCATAGGGTACATATCGGGGATATAATGGGATAATGGAAAGGGAAATGGAAACTACTATCATGGGTTTAGGGCTTAGGTTGGGTACTGCTCCCATTCTGTAATAGTTGGATAGTGTTTATAATACAGTTACAAAAGGCCTTTAGTTGGGATTTAGGGGCTTAGATGCTGTGGTTTAGGACTTGGTTTCGGGTGCTCAAAATCACGCGATTTTTTTGGTTTTGACGAGATGAGGAGACGGAGCAGGAAGACAAACCCAGACCCCTGATTAATAAACCCCTCCCCTGAAGTAGGGATTATAATGAATGGGGATCCTAGTATTAAGGCCCTTAAAAGGCGGGGGTTTATTAATCATGGGTCTACATTATTGGGATCATAGAGAAGGTTCTCAAGCTTGCGGCTTGCGACCTCCCTTGTGGGGAGATTGTGGCGAAGTGGGGACTGCTCATGCTCGAACATGCCTTCTGGGCTTTTTCATTTTAGATTAACCTCTTCACCTAGGCCCTCCTCCTACCCTCTATTAGGGCCTAAGTACCCACTGTTAGGGACCATATATCCCCAAATAAGGGTACAAGGAAGGTCCTGGCATACAGCATGTTGCTTGTGGACCGGGCTGCAGCCCAGGTACTTCTCACAATCAGGGCTTACAGTTTAAGAGAGACTTCCGCCTTATGTACCCCCAGAAACAGTGGAGACCTTGTTACAGGGTCCAACAGAAATTCCTAATTTTTGCAGACCGCATCCTTCCACAGCCTCGCAACCACCCTACTTGCTTTTTTCTATACATCCCCGTTACAGGGAGCCCGATGGTACAGCAAAACCGCAGCTGATGCAACATCATCAGTTTCACCCTTTTAAAACAAATCAGGAGATGATAGATTGTAGCCTAATATATGCTGGCATTGTACAGATTTTTTTCGATTAAGGGGGTGGGGGGATTCAATCTGAGTGATGTCTGTGGCAAGGCTATGGCTACAGTCAAGGTAGTGGCTGGAACGAGGAGGCGGCTGTCCAAAGTGGGTCCTTCTCATGGGGTTTAGGGTTTGGGTGGTCACGGAAGACCTTGCTAAGATTTGCGTCTTGTGAGAACGGATCTGGAGGTCCCTTTTGGGAATTGTTTAGAGTCCTTGCAGGAGTTATAGGGATTCGTACCTGCGAAATCCCTTTCTTGAGTAGTGGCTTTGCAGTAGATATCTCCAGCACAGCATCCGGTCCGGTAAGGAGGAGTTGCTTTGGGATATCCCAGTTACTTTCGGCAAGAGTGCAAGGGATTGATCCAGCACCTGTCTATCATAATTTGTTGCTTGGGTGCTTCTACTAGCCTCTGTTACACTCCACTTTGTATGCCTGAACATGTTGTGGTAGCAACTCTTCAAATTGTGTTCTTCTTATGGTCAGAACCTGGCCCATGCCAAGACAAGAGGAGCCTTTAAGCATGCGTCAATCTTGGCCCAGATCAGTGTCAGTGTGTGTGTGTGTGTGTGCGTGTTGGACTTGTAGGGTCTCATAGACATCGTGCTTTCCAACCAGTAGAAAGTATCTGCTACAATCTAAAACGCCAGGCTTGTTGAGGAGACTCGGTTTGTAGCTAATGTAGCAGGCGGGAGCCCTAAATCCTAAACCGGTGATTTAGCACAGCAGGTGGGCCACATTTCCTCAGACGTGGCCGGCAGCACGGGCTTCAAGCTGAATGAGCTAGACCTTCAAGGCTGCGTCATGAGTTTAGGGATGTAACCGCAAATAAAGGAGAATCAAATCGAAACCAAAGTGGAAAATTACCCGGAAACTATGGAAGCTAAGGTTTTATGTCGGGTTCTAGGGTTCAGGGGCGTGGGGTGTAGGGGTTTGTCGGCTGGATTCTGCCTCGAAGAGCCCCTGGAAAATAGACAGTTGCAAGCTTCGTGCAGGGTTTTGCGTGAGCTAATCCGAATTGATAGATGCATACAGTCAATGCGCATGCTCAGGAGCCTCCATAAGGGGGCTCATGAGAGAGAAAGGCTCCAGACCTTGAACCCCAAACCCCCACACGGTTTAGGGTTTAGGGTTTTAGGGCGCAAGAATCCACAAAACCAATCCGCACGAATCTTGAACCTAAAGGCTAAACCCTAAGTTCCATACTTGTAGTCTTGATGGGATGCTCGGCCGTACGGTGGGTGCTGCCCTCATCCAGTAACAGCCCGCGTAACATTAGGGGCTCTATGTTAGGTATATACAAAACTCTAAGCCCTAAACCCTAAATTGTTACACTCTAATCCTCAATCCTCACACCCTGAATCCTGCAACTAAAAACTCGTGTGTACTGGGTGGGTGCAGTACCAAAGGCATGGTGTTAATGCGGCGCCTCCATTACAGGAACAGGAGTGGCAGAAATCTAAAAATGAGACCCCTCACCCTTGGGTTCTAAGAGTTCTGTGGATTGCAGTATGGGGATGGTCTGGGTTCTCTAAAGGCCCCGAAGCTGAAACAACCCTTAACCCCAAAACCCTAATCCCTAAACCCTAAACCCCTAGTCCCTAAACCCTAACCCCTAAACCCTAAACCTTAATCCCTAAACCCTAACCCCTGAACCCTAACTAAACCCTAATCCCTAAACCCTAGGATTATTCAGGGGGATACTAGGAGTTTAGACTATAGCTTACATGGGCCTGATCCATCTAAGCGACCGAAGCATCCCTGGAGGCCAAGCACCCATCCGTGAGAACGGCAGCTGGCAGGAGGTGGGCTTAGGGCTTAGGAAGATTGTAGATGTGTATATATATATATAGACATATGTGTATATATATATGTATATAGACATATGTATAGATATATATATATATGTATATATATGCACACATGGGCTTGGGTAAAAACAGCGCTGTCAGAATTGATACAAGATCGGTCCTATTTGCTGCTTCATTTGCAAAGCGATAACCAATACACAAAA